AAAAAAAGAGAAGGAGATTAAGAGAGAGAGAGTGAGAGAGAAGAGAGAGAGGAGAGAGAGTAGGAAAGGGAAGGAGAGAAGGGACTTTTCTGCAGTCATTTTCATTCTTCTTACTACTTTTGTTATTCATTTTCGTAGATACACTTTCCTAAAACCTTGAATTACTTGACAAAGCGCGCAGACCGAAAAAAAATATTAAAAGAAAGAAAGAAAGAAAAAAGGATGAACAACTATATATGCGAATAAAATGTATAAATGAATAAACGTTCTTTATAATATTTTTGCTCTCTCTCTCTCTTCTCTCTCTCTCCTCTCTCCTCTCTCTCTCTCTCTCTCTCTCTCTCTCGTATCTTCTCTGGCTCTCTCTCTCTCTCTCTCTCTCTCTCTCTCTCTCTCTCTCTCTCTCTCTATCTTCTGCTGCTCTCTCTCTCTCTCTCCTCTCTCTCTCTCTCTCTCTCTCTCTCTCTCTCTCTCTCTCTCTCTCTCTCTCTCTCTCTCTCTCTCTCTCTCTCTTCCTTCTTTTGTATAGCATTCCTCGAAGACCCATTCATGAAATGCTATGAGAGAGCCATTGAAAGTTATGCATAGATCTACCCATCACTGTGTTGAAAGGAATAATAACTCAAAACCCATTTAATAATAACTTCAGGCTCATTACATGATAGCTTAAAACCCAGTGAACAATTAGTTAAAACCAATCAAATTACAATCCATTAGATAGTAACTTAAAACACATTAAATAAACCACTAATTGATAACTTAAAATCCATTAAATCATAACTTCAAACTTATTAAATAACAACTTTTTAAAACCCATTAAATGATAACTTGAACCCAATCAAATAATAACCCCAAAACAGATCAACTAACTTAAAACCATTAGATCATAACTTAAACCCCATTAAATAGCAATTTCAAACCCACCAAAAATCCAACGAGGTCTATAACAAATAATATTTCAATCGCAAAGATCCATTCAGACTTACGCAACGAAAGGAACGCAAAAAAAAAAAAAAAAAAAAAAAATAAATAAATAAAAATAAAAATAAAAAGAAAAGAAAGCAAGAAAGAAAGAAAAACACATGTCCATTACACATTTTATTCTGCATAATCCAAAGGGTGATTTATACAGTCAGTATTATCTCTAATTACCCAACATTTAATCCTGATTGGTCTCATTTCACCGGCGCTGCTTTCTAACTCCTCCATAAATAATTTGGTATTAAACTCATTCATTAGAGCAAGTCGCAATTTTTTTTTTTTTTCAATTTTCGTTGTTTCTGATAGGGTTGTAAGTTGTTTTTTTGTGATGTATGTCATTTCGATGATGCAGTCGGTTTTTTTTTTTTATTTTTAGTAAATTTTCCTTTATTATGTTTTTTTGGTGTTTCTGTTTTGACATTTTTTTGCGATATATATTTTTCTTTGGGATTTTCCTATTTAATCTTTGTAGTCTTGTGTTGTTTAGTTCTCTAGTCTACTTTTAATTCTTCATTTTTGTATAAATTCTCATTTAAATAAAACATTTGTCGATCTCTTCACAATTTTGTTACAAAATTTTAAATATTTTCCTATAGGTTCTTATATCAATCTCCAGTCTTCTATAAATCTTCAGTGTTTTATAAGATTCTTATATAATCCTTGAGTCTCTGAACATTTATTTATATTCTTGTCCTTGCCGGCACTTTGTTGCTGATTTTCTTACACAATTTTTCATTTTTCTCTCTCATATAATTACCTAGAATTTCGTGATTAAGGTCTGTGAAATACATATATTATAATACAAACATTATTATATAATTATTATTATTATTATTATATTATTATATTATTTATATATATATATATATATATATATATATATATATATATATATATATATATTATATATATATACAAACATTCCTCTTGACCAGGCCTTCAGTGTGTCAGTTCATCCGTTATGTTCAAGATAAATATTTTTTATATATATATTAATGTTTGTATTTATACATATAATATATATATATATATATATTATATATTGAAGGTATGAATTGAAGTTAAAACCTTCACAAATTCAACCCTTTTTTAGACGCGAGGGGGGAGGGGGGGGAAGCTAGCCTTTGTGGGTGCCGGTCCCAAGAGAGGGTTGGTGTCAGGAAGGGCATCCGGCTGTAAAAACAAATGCCAATAGCCAATATATGGAATGAGCCGTAATAGAGAGGTTCATCCCATACCGCGGCGATCCTATATAGAAATGGGAGAAAGCTGAAAAGAAGAAGAAAAGAAAAAAGAAGAATAAATCTATATAGAATGGGAGAAACTGAAGAGAAGAAGAAGAAAAAGAAGAAGTTAATTAATCTATATAGAAATGGGAGAAAGCTGAAAGAAGAAGAAAAAGAAGAATTAATTAATCTATATAAGAAATGGGAGAAAAGCTGAGAAGAAGAAGAAAAAGAAGAATTAATCTATATAGAATTGAGAGAAAGCTGAGAAGAAGAAGAAAAGGAAGAAGTAATCTATATAGAAATGGGAGAAAGCTGAGAAAAATAAGAAAAAGAAGAATTAATCTATATAGAAATGGGAGAAAACTGAAAAGAAGAAGAAGAAAAAGAAGAATTAATTAATCTATATAGAAATGAGAAGCTGAGAAAAAGAAGAAAAGAAGAATTAATCTAAATAGAAATGGAGAAAGCTTGAGAAAAAGAAGAAGAAAAAGAAGAATTAATCTATATAGAAATGGAGAAGCTGAGAAGAAGAAGAAAAAGAAGAAGTAATTAATCTATATAGAAATGGGAGAAAGCTGAGAAGAAGAAGAAGAAAAATAAGAAGTAATTAATCTATATAGAAATGGGAGAAAGCTGAGAAGAAGAAGAAGAAAAAGAAAAGTAATCTATATAGAAATGGGAGGAAACTGAAAAAGAAGAAGAAGAAAAAAGAAGAAGCAATTATCTATATAGAAATGGGATAAAGCTGAAAAGAAGAAGAAAAGAAGAATTAATCTAATAGAAATGGAAAGCTGAGAAGAAGAAAAAGAAGTAATTAATCAATCGTTTCATGCATAATTATTCATAATATCTTATCACAAGTAATCCCATCCTTAGTTTCACGCAGAATCCTCCAATCTTTCCTCCTTCCCTCCCCGCCTCCTCTCTCCTCTATTGCCTTCCCATAGCACCATTTATCCACCTTTTCTTCGTCTCCGTTTATCAGCTCTTCCGAGTTCCTTCAGCCTCCCTTCGCGTCCCATTTGGAGGTCGTCGCGTCTTCATCTCCTAGAGCATCCTCATCTCATTCTCTCGAGGCTCCCTTCACCTCCTGGCATCCTTAGTAGTGACAGGTGTGTGCGTGCGTGTGTGTGTGTGTGTGTGTGTGTGTTGAGAGAGAGTGTGTGTGTGTGTGTGTGTGTGAGTGGAGTGTGTGTGTGTGTGTTGTGGAGAGAGAGAGAGAGAGAGAGAGAGAGTGAGAAGAGAGAGGAGAGAGAGAGAGAGAGAGAGAGAGAGAAGAGAAGAGTGTGTGTGTGTGTGCGTGTATGTGGTGTGTGTGTGTGTGTATTCAGACCTGTGGATCTAATTAACCAATTTCTAGGCGATGTGGATTTCTGGGTGACTTGGATTACGAGGTAAATTGTGGATAATCTGTGGATTTCTAAGTAATTTGTGGATTTTCATGTTACCTGTGGATTTGTAAGTATAACCTGTGGGGTTTTCAAGTACCTGTGTTTTTTTTCGAGGTTGTAGATTTCCAAGTTTTCTGTGATTTTTTAGGTAATCTGTGAATTTCCAAGTGACCTGTGGATTTCTGAATTTCTATGGACTTGCAAATAACCTTTGGATTTCTAAGTAGCTTGTAGATTTTCACGAAAATTGTGGATTCCCGTGTTACCTGTGGATTTATACGTGACATGTGGATTTTGAAGGAACGGGAATATCTAAGTAATCTGTGGATTTCCAAGTAGATTGTGAGTTCCCGAGTAAAATGTAGAATTTCATGTAACTTGTGTATTTCCACATAGCCTGTTGATTTATAAGATACATGTAGATTTTGAAGTAACTTAGAAATTTCCAAATAATCAGTGGATTTATTAGTAATCCTTAAACATTTTTTTAAAAGTAAATTTTGTTTTTCCAAGTAACTGGTGGACTTCCAGGTAATTTGTACATTCCAAATATACCTGTGGCTTTGAAAGCAATCTGCCATTTTCAAGTTACCTGTCGATTTCTAATTAACACCGTTAATCCTCCTATTCCCTCTCCTATTATCCTCCTTATTCTTCCTCGAACGTGTGGACGAAAACTCCAAACTTCCAAACCTCGAGAGTGTCAGCAACTCCTGACGTCCTTCTTCGCTTTGTCTTGGCGTCGCCTTTCTCATTTCCTCGGACGTTCGAACTCATTTCTCATCTCTCTCTGCAACATCCTTTCTCTCATCTCAACCCAGCCTCTTATTTCTACCCAGGTCCTCATATCAATCATTCTCCAACGTCTGTCTTTGTCAGTTCCTCCTTTTTCACAGTAAGATCTCCATATGTGTATAAGCCTTTACCTCCTTCATATCCTGACGTCACTCTATATGTGTTTCGCGTCCTCACAACTTCCTCATCTCATCTCATTTCTCTCCATGGTCATATATTCTCATTATCCCTATTATTCTTCCCTTGTTCCACTTCCTCATGTCAATTCCTCGTCCTCATCCATGTTATGACGTCCTTAATTCATATCTCCTCATCAGTCCTCCTCCTTTCCGCCTCATATCCACTCATGTCCTCACGTTTTGAATTTCCGAACATCTTTCGTTTCTCATTTTCATCTACGTTCTCTCGCCTCTGCTATCTGGACATCCCGCCACATCTTTATCAGCTTCCTATTTCATCCTCTGTCCTTTCCATCGATCCTTCCATCCCTCGCCAGCCTCCCAACATCCTTGAGTCCCTTATGACGTCCTCCCAGCATCCTTCAGTGCCTCAGAATATCCTCCCAACATCCTTTTACCTATCGCCATCCTCCCAGCGTCCTTGAATGCCTCAACATATCCTCCCAGCAGCCTTGAGTGCCTCAGAACATCCTACCAACATCCCTGTTCCTCTCGTCATCCTCCCAGCATCCTTGAGTGCTTCAAAACATCCCAAAAGCATCCTTGAGTGACTCAAAACATCCCTGAGTCCCTTAAAACATCCTCCCACGCACCCTTTTACCCTTCCTCATCCTTCCAGCATCTTTTTTTTTCTCTCGTCATCCCCCCAACATCCTTAAGAGCCTTAGAACATCCTCCCAGCATCCCTGAGCACCTTAACATCCTCCCAAGCATCTTTTTATCCCTCGCCATCCTCCCAGCATCCCTTGGGTGCCTCAAAAGATCCTCCAGGCATCCCTGAGTACCTTAAAACATCCTTTCATCCCTCGCCATCCTCCCGGCATCCTTGAGTGCCTTAGAACATCTTCACAGCATCCCTGAGTGCCTCAAAACATCCTCCCAAGCATCCTTTCATCCCTCGCCGTCCTCCCAGCATCCCTGAGTGCCTCACAACATCCTCCCAGCGTCCCTGAGCCCCTTATAACATCTTCCCACGCATCCTCTTATCCCTTGCCATCCTCCCAGCATCCCTGAGTGCAGACCTGCATCCAGTGCATCCTTTCAAACTCGCCGTCCTCCCAGCATTCCCTCAGCATCGCGTCCTCCCAGCATCCCTGAGCATCCCTTCATCCCTCGCGTCCTCCCAGCATCCCTGAGTGCTGCATCCTCCCATCCTCCCAGCATCAGCATCCCTTCATCCTCCCAAGCATCGCCGTCCTCCCAGCATCCCTGAGTGCCTCACAGCATCCCGCGGAGGTGCGGAAGGAGGCGCACGTGTGAGGAAGATAAAAGAGAGTTATTAAAGAATGAACGATCTCTCATGTAGTGCCAGAAGGGGAGTGGATGCTGTGCGTGGGTGGGCGGCTCTCGGGACGGGCGAGTGGGGAGAGGAGCGAGTGTGTGGGTGAGAGTGTGTGTGTGGGTGGGAGTGAGGGAGAGGGAGAGGGAGTGAGAGTGAACGAGGGGTTACGGTGTGTGTGTGTGTTTGTTTTGTGTGGTGTGTGTGTGTGTGTGTGTGTGTGTGTGTGTGTGTGTGTGTGTGTGTGTGTGTGTGTGTGTTGTGTGTGTGTGTGTGTGTGTGTGTGTGTGTGTGTGTGTGTGTGTGTGTGTGTGTGTGTGCGTGTTTCTTATTCGTGTTCGCGGCGGGTGAGCCAGAGCGAGCGAGCGAGCGTGTGCGTCCCCGTGGGAGGAGCCCCTTGTTCAGCTTGCTTGACCGTCTCATCGCACCGCCTGGCGCTCCGTGAACCATCCCGCCACCGGAAGCTGCCACGGCCTCTGCCTCTGCGGACGCTCGATGCCGTAACTCGCAGAGGAGCCTTTCCCGCTGCACCTGCTGGCCCGACGCCTCCGCTGCGGATCCCTGCTGGCTGCCTCGACGGCCCCTTTGCCTGCCTGCTCTGTCCCAGCCACGGGTCCTGCCTCCACCACACAACTCTTGTAGGATTTCGTGGAACCGAATATCCCTCTGCGCTCTCTCCCGACGCGGCGGAGTGCTGCGGAAGAGCATGTCGGGCGCTATCTCTGCACGGCGTCTAAAACAGCGTTATGCTTTGCCGTCATCGGGTCGGGAGCTCCGAGAGCGGCGCTGCAGGTTTTGCCATCCATTGCAGGAGTGGAAGTGTGTCAGCCCGCGACGATAAAATGCCGGGTGAAGCAAGAGCAGAAATTGGTCGGCGGCGCTGGCGGTGGCGCTGGCGACGTGGTGAATGTCGGAGGTGTGGCAACGCTGTCACTCGACGGGTGAAAGTGGCGGCAGCGACGCGGCCGAAGGGACCGGGCGCAGGAGCCAACTTGTGACTTCTTCAATCATTCGTGACCACAAGGCGCAAGCGGGCGTAAGGGCGAGGAGCGGCCGCCCACACGCCCGCGCCGCCCCTCGCCTCCGCTGCTGTGAGGGCGCGTGTGATGGGTGCAGGGGCCGCCTCACCCGGATATGGAGGGGAGCGCACCGGAGGGCCAGGGAGGGGCGACGGGGAGGAGGAGGAAGAGGGCAGATCGTGGGGACCTTCTGCCGAGTCCTTCAGGCGACGAATGGGGGAGGGGAGAGGGGGGGGGGAGGGGAAGAGGGGATGGGCAAGCGTGGAACAAGGAAGATATTAATATAAATGAGCGACGAGGAAACGGAGGTGCAAGGATGTGTGAATAAGATAACCACAAGACAGGGCGTCGATACAGGTTTGCGCGCCGTCGGTCCCTCCGCGTAGGTCATGTATCGCCTAATACATTCCGCGATTCCCATTCTGGAATCTAATCGTCCCTAATCATCGACATCCTGATCCCAAACTACAAAAATACACAACCCTCCTCTTTACACAGATCCTAATATTTACTTCGAATTGAAAAAAATAAAAAAAAGAAAACGCAGCTCTCAAAATAAAACAAAACAAAAGCGAAACTACGACGAGAATGCCCGGATGTGGCACCCGTGCAAACTACCTTCATGAAGCGTTGTAGGGGGAGTGGGGGTAGGGGGAGGGGGTGGGTGGAGGAGTGGGGTAGGGGGAGGGGGTGGGTGGAGGGAGTGGGGGTAGGGGGAGGGGGTGGGTGGAGGGAGTGGGGGTAAGGAAGGGGTTAGGGTTTTGGTACTTAGTAGGGGAGAGATGAGGAAGGGAATGGGTAGGGGTGGAGAGTAGGGGCAAAGGGAAGGGTAGAGAGTAAAGGAGTAGTTGGAAAGAATGGAAATGGAGGAGGAAATGGGAAGACAGGGAGTGCAGAGAGTGTAGAGAGAGCAGGAGAAAGGAGAGGAAGGAGTAGTAGTAGTAGTAGTAGTAGTAGTAGTAGTAGTAGTAGTAGTAGTAGTAGTAGTAGTTAGTATAGTAGGAGGAGGAGAGGAGGAGGGAGAGGAGGAGGAGGAGGAATAGGAGAGCAGAATAGGAGATAGGAGAGGAGTAGGAGAGGAGGAGGAGTAGGAGGAGGAAGTAGGAGGAGGAAGAAGAAGAGATGAAGAAGCGAAGAATAGAGATAAATAAGAAGCATAAGAGAAGATAAAGAAGAAGCAGAGGAGAAAAAAAGAAGAAAGAAAAGAAAAAAGAAGAGAAAAGTAAATAAGGAGGAGAGGACCTAGAAACGGGGAGTAAAGGAATATAAGAGAGGGGGGGATGGGGGGGGGGGGACAATCACAGAGACACTTGGCCGAAAGCAGAGGAATCAGACTGAATAAAATCTTAAATAGTGAAGCGTGAAAGAACAGGTCGCCAGATAGAACGAAATGTCGGAGACTGAATTAAGCAACAGAGTAACTGTGAGATAGACAATATATATATATATATATATATATATAATTATATATATATATATATATATATATATAATATGTTATATATGTGTGTGTGTGTGTGTGTGTGTGTGTGTGTGTGTGTGTGTGGTGTGTGTGGTGTGTGTGTGTGTGTGTGTCTGGATAGATATATAGATATAAATATAGAGACAGACAGACAGAGAGATAGAGAGAACGAAAAAAACGAAAGAAAAAAAATAAACTGAGAGAGAAAACAAAAATTAAAAAACACGAAAAAAGTTCACCCAGAAAACAAAAACCAAAGTACACCATCAGCCGAACATGTAATTCCCTCCTTCTTTCCTTCCTCTCATCCGCTTGTTGGCGAAATCCCTAAATACGGCTTGCGGAAACGATAATAGTTTTAGCAGGAATAGTCCTTGGTATTCCAGTACTTAACAGATTCCACTGTATCACCGACTGGGAATTCTTTCAACAGATTAGCGAAAGAAGTGGAAGAGAGAGGAGAGAGAGAGAGAGAGAGAGAGAGAGAGAGAGAGAGAGAGAGAGAGAGAGAGAGAGAGAGAGAGAGAGAGAAGAGAGAGAGAGAGAGGAGAGAGCGAGAGAGAGAGAGAGAGAGAGAGAGAGAGAGAGAAGAGAGAGAGAGAGAGAGAGAGAGAGAGAGAAGAGGGAGGGAGAGAGAGAGAAAAGAGAGAAGAAAGAGAGAAAGAGAGAAGAGAGAGAGAGAGAGAGAGAGAGAGAGAGAGAGAGAGAGAGAGAGAGAGAGAGAGAGAGAGAGAGAGAGAGAGAGAGAGAGAGAGAGAGAGAGAGAGAGAGAGAGAGAGAGAGAGAGAGAGAGAGGAGAGAGAGAGAGAGAGAGAGAGAGAGAGGAGAGAGAGAGAGGAGAGAGAGAGAGAGAGAGAGAGAGAGAGAGAGAGAGAGAGAGAAGAGATTCTGTCCATTCAACGAAATAAATAATTGAGGACACTTCTCGAATCCATGAACGGAGTCTTAAATCCGTTCAAATGTATCTTTTCCTTAAAATAAAAAAATAAAAGAAAATGAAAAAGAAAGAAAAAAGTCTAGAGTTCAAGAGATCGACGCAAGGGGAGCAGAAAGAGAAAGAATAAACACGAATCAATGGAGGGAAAGGAGAGAGAAGGAAGAATGAGGGAAAGAGAATGAGGAAGGAGAGGATGGGGGAAGGAGAGTAAGGAAAGAGAGGAAAGGAAGGAAGGAGAGCAGTGAAGAAGAGGATAGAAGTAAGGAGAACATGGAAGGGAGAATGAGAGGAGGAGAATGAGGAAGAAAGGACGAGGGAAGGAGGGGGAAAAGACGATGGAGGGAATGAGAGCAAGGAACGAAGAATGAGGAAGGAGAGAGGATAGGAGAAGGAGAGCAAGGAAGGGGGAGGACGGAGGGAAGGCGAATCGAGGACGGAGAGGCAGTTATACTCGGAGCTGGACCCATGACCCAAGCGCGGACGGCTAGGCGGCAGGGCTACACAGGGAGGTGGCTTGGAGAGTGCAGGTACAAGGAGTGGGAAAAGGGGTGGGGGGAGTGGGGGGAGGAGGGGAGAGGAGAGAGGAGAGAGAGGGAGAGAGTCAGGACGAACAATATGGGCGTATGCAGTGTTAGAGGGTGTGTGCCCAAGGAGTATAGCCATATGCGTATATTCATAAGGTTGTTGATATGAGATCGTGATGTGCAGTGAGAGTACATATATAGGACGTGGTCGGGAGTACGCGATCGAAATGGGGACGCAGGTTGGAAATGTGCAGATGTTCAGAGGAACTCATTAAGGGCGTAAACTATAAAATGGTCTTACGTGTGTGAGGTCCCCCCCTGCACGTTAATGATACGCTCAGAAGGTCCCCGGGATGTTTAGCATGGGTACGTGTAGAGGTATTCAGCCTGTGTGCATTGTAGAAACTCGCTTGCAACCCTGGCTAGTACAATGCACGTCTAGGAAGGTATACCATTGTGTCCAAAATGGGCAAGGGGAGACAAAAGGGGCGATATAAGTACATGTAGAGTAGTCCAGTCTGTTCGAGGAAGGGGGCGCCGAGGCAGGAAGAGTCACATGCGGGGAGTCGCGGTGGAAATAACGTTCTGGATTTTTTTTTTTTTTTTATTTCACACACATAGAAGCACACACACACACACATAGAATCACACACACACACACACACACACACATAGAAGTACACACACATACACACATAGAAGCACACACACACACACACACACGCAGAACAAGCACACACATAGAAACAAACATACACACACTAAGCCAGAAAAATACACACATAGAAACAAACACACACAAACAAACCCACCAAACGAGAAAAAGAACTATAGAAAAAAACGAAAAAAAATAGAATAGAAAAGCGAAACCTCCCCCCTCCCCCCCTCACCCAAAAAATAAATGAGGAAAGAAGCCTATATCCAAACGTTCGAAATCCACGCAAATGAAGTCAAGGGCTAGCCAATGGGATACGGGAGTCGGTGTTCGGACT